TTTCGATTTTTGATTTTTTTTTCATAAGTTATTTTATCGAATTTTTGGCATATAATTAGCAAAATAAAGAAATATAAAACCCAAAAATTTATAAATTACATCGAACTAGTTTTAGATAATAAAATGAAAACATTTTATGATGTTATTTGCAATGAGGCAAATAATTCCCAAACTATTTATTTTTACTTATAATAAAATTGAATTTTATCGCAATTATTTATAGACGTTTAATTTTATAGTTACCAATAGATTATATGCATGAACAAATATACAATTTCCTCAAATAAATTTCATTATTTTATCATGCATATTTTTCACTTGACAATTAATTGTCACCAGTTCACTTCATTATGTCATGTGAGATAGATGGCTAGAAATTTTTTTTTTTTCAAGACTATCATTAAAAATGTATTAATTATGAATGTTATTTATTTACTTTGGGCTATCTACAATTTTTAATTACATTAGCTTACTAGTTTATGTAATCAAAAAATTATATGACTCCCTCGAGTACCGTAACTTTGGGTATGCAAAATAAGTATTAATTACGTTTCTGTAATTATTTCCTAGCTAATTAGGGCACAATTATAATACAAAACACTCAGTATTTACGTATGCTGGTATTATCTACAAACGCTAGTATTGTTAAAAAAAAAACAGAAATCATCGAATTAATGCTGGTAGAATTAATATAAAACATATCCCGTTTCAAAGGGGTTGTTCGTAAGTCGGGGGAATTTTAAAAATTTCCAAATATACTTATCTTACCACACTTTATCATGGTTTTTACTTTTATATATGTTAGTATAACTTCCAAAAATATTATACTTTGTTAAAGAAATTATCAATTTTAGCTTGGACAGTTAATTTTTTATATCTCCTTGTAACAAGTTAGAGCTTTTAGAATTGTTCGTAAGTCCGGGAATTCATAAGTCGGGAAATATCTGTATTGAATTATGTTCTGCCTTATTTAGTCAGTATTATTAGATTATATAATAACAATTTACAAAATAAGTTTTACAGTAATCTTTGACAAAAAAAAATGCAAATTCTTATTGAAAATTGCAAAATTTCAGAAAAAAAGAGGCTTTAAATATTTATGTAGTAAATTATAAATATAAGTATAAATATTGTTACAGTATGCGTTTAATTCTATGAAATCGTGTTAGTTATGTAATTAATATGACACTTTAGAAAACGTTGATTTGTATATCTATTTTTCTTACAAATATCCAACGCTCAGCAATTCCAGTTTTTTTTCTTGGTATTGAGTCTAGGAAAGATTACTTTCTGTTGGATCAAATCCAGCTGTACCTAATTTTAAAAAGTGCGACAAAAAATAAACACAGTGTACATTCAATGCAATTAACTTTGATAAAAGAAAGTTTTGGTATAAGTAACCCTATAGTAAAGATTTTTAGTATTCTGTCATTCGATTTAGAAAAAAATGCAGTTCTGAATAAGTTTGAATAAAATTGTTATTAAAAAATATGTTCTTTTGATAATAAAAATCTCATGTTACCGTTCAAATATTTGACTTTAATTATCATTTTTTTTATTTTGACTACTCTTGATATTATCAACATTATATAAATGCAACTTTTTTTTTAAATTTTATTTTCAGACAAGGTACTATATCGAATGTTCACTGTATGTATATATAACAAAAAATAAACGGTGTCATTTTCAGACGTGAAAAAATGATGTACATTTTATTTTCACTCGTTCCTTGCGGCCGACTTATTTGCGCTCGTACCAAGCAAGAGATGATGTAACGTTCCCCTATGCTACGTTTGACCCCGGTCGTTAAAATGTATTTATTTAAATCATTCGAACACGCCGAAACCGAACCAGAAGAATTTACAGCCGACTTCCTCCCAACGAAATCCTGGACGCGTTGACGGCCGATTTGTGGGATCGTCGAACGTATTTTATTAAGAAGAAGGAAGACGTTCCCGTTCCCTCTGTCTTTCACGTGTCGTTGGTGATAAGTCCAAAGTTTCGCACGAGCGAAAAACGTTCATCTGCATGATGCGATTATGCAGCAGCAGATTAACAACACGTCTCGAGTCGCTGCAACGCAAACAAACCGGAGTGTTGCAGACCGCCGATTCTATACTTTCTTTTGCCTCTTCTGCCAAGTTGAAACCTAGTAAAATAAACAGTTTTTACTAATGTGGAACACCGCACTTTCAAAAACCAAGTTTTGTATAATAAAAACGATTGTAAGCATATTACCAATAATTTACAGAATCTCGTTTGTCATTAAAATTGAATATATTCGTAATAATTAAGTTAAAAATTAGATTCACCACAATTTGCGTGAATCTTATGTGATAATAAACATTTTCTTCAAAAATATCCTAAATTTGGAATACGTCTTACGAAACTTATCGTCCGAAAAATATGGTAAGTCACATAAACAAGACTTTTTAGGATCAAAGTTTAGAATGTATTTGCGAAAATTTGTATTATTTCTATTAAAATTAAAAGTTTCATTTTACCAATATTTAATTTGTTTTATCTTCATTGATTATATCGACCAAAGTCTGTCTATTTCAGTATTATTTTTATATTATAAAATATTATATTTGTAAACATAAAACATAAATATTATTAATTTAAAAAAAAAAATTATGTTTGTATGATACAATAATTTCAAATTTCTGAAAACATTTGTTAATGTTTTTTTTGTTCTTCTAAAATTGATTCTTCGGGTATCCTTGTGCCACTTGGCAATTCAAAAGCATGTTAAGTATATTTCCAGAAAACGGTAAACATACTGGATTTAATGCGCTGCCGATAAACCTACTGCAATGTTAAACAAAATTGAAAAGAGATCAATGGAACATTCGAATGCGGTTACAATAACAGAAATTTGTATTAAAATATACAAAACTCGGAGCTTCAAAAATTATTCACCAACTTTTACAACGCTGAGATTATATATTATAGATTTAAATTAAAAAAAAAATGCTGAGTCTCGAGTCCCGTAAATTCCCGGGAATCCCTTAAACATTTGTCTCGTTCCCGGGAATCAAAAAAATGTCGAGACTGAGCAACCCTAGTCATAGTCAAGATTATTACCTTTTAGTACCATTGCTATAATCGCTGCTCAAGACGATTTTATCCATCGGTTCTTTGGCTTTAAATTTGATGCTAATTAATCTGTGTGTGGTGAATTTATATTCGATTAAGAATGGTAACAATTATTCTCGAAATTATCAAGTTTATGTTTTGTAGATTTCAAATGAAAAAATTAATTTTAATTAAATTAAAAAAGTGTTAATTAATAATTATGATGTAATTTGTGATATTTATTTAAAATTTAAAGATTTATTATTAAATCTAAATTTAATGTTAAACTATTGCTATATCTATTTATAAATGCATTTTACTTTAGTGATATGAATATTATTATTAAAATGAATGCGAATGTCAGACAATAAAATGTCACGCTGAAAGGTCACCAAATGTACGTGAATTTCGTGTGGACGCAAAAAGGCGTGAGTAACGTTAGATAATTTTATGCGCGACCTGCTGTAAGCAATAAACAGCAAAAGGAAGCGATACTTGTGTGCCGTCTCCGTCTCTTTCCAAGCAACACGCAGCATTGAACAGGAGAAGGAGATGGGAAGAGGCCGTCCGCGAATTGGATATTATGGGTGTACACCATAAAGCGAAAGCCTGCTATTTATAAACCGATGAACCGGATAAACCGTCCGATGCTTTCTATCCGAAGCCCTTAAACCAATATTTACAGGGTGGATACACTTAACTCTTCGTCACATCGTCGAAGCCCCAAATCAGATTGATCAATTAGGTGCGTCGAGTCGAAACGAAAATCACGCAACGTTTTCATTAATGGAACGCTCCTAATTCCATCGAATGCGTGTCGAGTCTTTCATTACATTAACCTGAGCAATTTCCGAGAACAGACTTTGCAATCGCAATAACAATTAGGAAAGGTTCTAAGGACAATTTCACGTTTGGCATTTTGCCGCATGAACGAAACACGTTAAAAAAGAAGGAAACAATTTGGAAGTTAATCAAATTTCATATTTCTAAGAATTTGCTAAACAAACATTTACATATGCTCCAAAACCTACTTAGCTTTGTCAATATTTGATCATCAATTTGTTTTAAAATACAGATTTTTTGAAAATTCATTTTGACAATTAACTAGTATATTATTAGTAAATTATTATTGCATGTTATTAATATTTCAACATGTTATAATTACTCAAATATCAATGTATAAATAGTATAGTTCATTGAACGATATTTATTTAGAACTATGATTGTAATTGAATTTATCAACATTGGTTACGAAACATCTATTGAATGAATTTATATTAATATGTACTGGGTAAAGCTTATTTAGACAGTACTGAGCGTCAAACAAGTATAAACAAATAGATTTTTATATTGTAAGCAAATTATTAACTCGATAAGTAATTGATGAATGCATTACATATAGGAAATTTAACATTAATAATTGATATCATCAAACTAAACCAATAAACATTCTTGCTATTATTAGCTATTGTTCTTTTTAAACAATAAGAAATGCATTCTTATTCCAACAATGTATGCAGTTAAATCATTGTACAACATCATGTAATAATTTGCGTGCTTAAATATTAAACTGTATTTTTCAATGTTCAATTTGTTGTCAATAACTGCGTATATTAATGCAGCTGAAACCTTTGTAATATTATATAAAAAATCAAAGTTTTTATAATAAAGATTTGAATTATTTTGATTTGTTAAAACACGTATGTTTCTGGTTGATTGTTGTAAACACGTTTGAGTGGATGTTACGAAACGCACGTCGTGTAAACTTCAAAGCAGCTCACGAGGATTGTATTTCATATTACTATTGAATGGAGTTTTTGGTGTTTACGAAACTAAGCAAAAATTTACGAGTTCGAGATATTTCGGTTCTTGGAAGTAAACAGAGCAGTTGATTCATGTTGTTTTTTTGTTTGATTTTGTAGGTGTCCCAACGTCCGTGGACTTGGAGAACAACTCCAACTCGAAGAAGTACACGATCAACGAGGGCGCACCGAAAGGGAAGTTGCTGATTTCGAAGGTGTGCTGCTGTTTGCTGGCGATGGGCGCTATAGTGCTAGCAGCCTTGGCCGCGTTAGCTGTTTACATGCTGCTTCCGGTCTGTGCAGAAACGACCCCGGAAGCGTTGACCACCCAACCAAAATCGATCCAGAAGGAGGCGGTCGTCGCGAACGCGCGACTTCCTCGAGCATTGGAACCCACACACTACAAGTAAATACATTTCAAATGAAAATCCGTTCAAAAGTGATTGAGTATTGGTTTGCGTGTTTCAGGATAAAATTGCTACCATTCTTAATCGAAAATAATTTCACCACGCACGGATTCATCAGCATCGAATTTAAAGCCAAAGAACCGACTGATAAGATCGTCTTGAATGTTAACGATATAGATATTGATCAAGACTCTTTGCGTGTTAAGATCGCTAAAGATGGGAGCTTCTTGCAGATCCTCGACCAGGCTTACAACAAGGAAGCTCAGCTGTACACGATCGTAATTAGCAAGAAGTTTAAGAAGGATAACGATTATCGGGTTGAAATGAACTTTGTTGCGAAGCTGAACGATCATATGCAAGGTTTTTACAGAAGCAGCTATTACAGCAATGGGACTAAAAGGTAATGATCTTGAATGTGGCTTTAGTTTATTTAAATTACTTATAATTTAGATGGATGGCGAGTACGCAATTCTCTCCAACCGATGCCCGAACGGCGTTCCCTTGCTTCGACGAGCCTTCGTTCAAAGCCATCTTTTCGATCACTATAGGAAGACCTGATAACATGACCACGTTATCAAATATGCCAAAGAAAGAATCCTTCCCAAGGTGAGCAACTTTTAAATTAACTAAAGCTATTACTAAATGAAAAATTGATTTTATTAAAGTACCGAAATGGAAGGTTACACGTGGGATGTGTACAAAGAAACGCCAAAAATGTCCACGTATTTGGTGGCATTCATTGTTAGCGATCTTCAAGCTTTCGAATTTAACTCCTCGAGAATCGTCTTTACGATTTGGACTAGGAAAGAGGCTATAACTCAGGGATTGTACGCCTCGACGATTGTGCCGTCGGTATTTAACCATTTCGAAACCTATTTCAATCTGAAATATCCCATTCCCAAAGTAGATCTGGTGGCGGTCCCAGATTTCGGTTTTAACGCGATGGAAAATTGGGGTTTGATCACTTTCAGGGAGACAGCTTTGCTGCTCGATCCAACGATATCCACGATCGACGATAAAAGGAATATAGCTTTGGTAGTTGCACACGAGATTGCCCATCAATGGTTCGGTAATCTTGCAACTCCCAAATGGTGGGACGACCTTTGGCTCAAAGAGGGTTTTGCAACGTACTTTGAGTACGTGGCTGTCGATAAAGTAAGTAAATCATTCAACGCAATTAATAATAAGATAAATATTTTTTTTTAATGATTCATTAGGTCGAACCCAGTTGGAACATTACAAACGAATTTACTTTTTCCGAAATGTCGGCGGCCTTCGAAATTGACTCGCTGGCATCCGCAAGACCATTATCAGTCAAAATAGAGAGTACCAATCAAATCAGACAAGCCTTCAACAAAATTTCTTATTCCAAAGGTAAACTATCTACTGGCTTCTTGAATTGTAGATTATTTAATAGTATTCTCTAGGCGCTTCCATTATAAGAATGATACAAAGCATTTTGGGCGAGGAGATTTTCAAAACCGGTCTGATCCATTTCCTCAACAACCACCTTTACGCGAACGGTGATCACAACGATTTGTGGAAAGCTTTGACGGAGAAGGCCCAAGCCGGTGGAGTTTTGGAACCCAACGTTACGGTCAAAGATATCATGGATCCATGGACTATCCAAGCCGGTTATCCCGTGGTCACGGCTATTGCAGATTACGAAGCCAAAAGCATCAATCTGTCACAAGTAAATGAATATTTTTAATGCGTTTAAAATAACTGTTTCATTTATTTTGCAATTCGTTCAGAAACGTTATTTGAAGTCTGGAGAAACCGATCAGGATTCTCTCTGGTGGATACCCATTTCATATACAACCGCGGCTGACTCCAAATTCGATGATGTGAGACCGCAAGCATGGTTGCGAAATGAAAATGAAACTACAATCGAGTTGAACACCAAAGGATGGTATTTGCTAAATTTAAAACATTCAGGTAATTTATTAGAAAAATGTCAATTGTTATTTGCTAACAGTTTTATTTAGGATATTTCATTGTTAATTACGATGAGACCAATTGGAAGAGACTGGATGAAAACCTAATAGATTTACCAAACGATGTTAGGGCACAACTTTTGAGCAATGCCTTGGATCTGTCCAGGGCTAACTTATTGGATTACGATATTCCATTTAGATTGTTGGTGACTTTGAACAGACTCGGATGGAGTAAACAATTGCTGACTCTGACCATAGCTTTAGAAAAAATGGACTTTTTGCATAACATGTTGATCTCTACGCCAGCATTCAACAAGTTCGATGTACGTGATATTAACCATTCATTAAACGACTCGATGTTGAAAATTCGCCTGCTTTTCAGAGATTTATATTGACGCTCTTCTCGAATGTCTTCGATCACACAAGCTTTAACGAGGAACGTAACGATTCTTACGCGGTTCAAAGGACCAGGAGGACTATTTTGGAATGGGCTTGCAAAAGGCCCGACTCGCGTTGCATGATTACTTCTAGACACTTGTACAGGGATTGGATGGTCAATGGAAAACCGTAAGTTGATTAAATTTATTACATTTAAATATTACAAATAGATAAATCTAACTAGGATCGCGCCGAATCTGAAGAAATTAGTATACTGCACATCGATTCGTGAAGGTGGAGAAGCTGAATGGGAATTCGCCTACAGACAATACTTGAACACTACCTTGGCTTCGGAGAAGAATACGATTCTTGACGCTCTAGGTTGTTCGTCCAAACCTTGGTTACTAGCTAGGTACTTCAATTGTTTTAAGTAAAAGATTTTGTGATTTTTAATGATTTTTTTTTTAGATATTTGGATTACATGATGCAAAAAGAGTCGGGGATTCGTAAGCAGGATGGTGAGCGTGTTTTCAGAGCTGTGGCCAACAATATCGTCGGTCATCAGTTAGCTTTCGATTACTTAAGATTTAGCTGGAAATCGATTAACAAATAGTGAGTACAATGTTATTCATATTATTTGTGTTTCATGATGATGAGTGATTGTTAATTATAGCTATGGAGTCGGCTTCAACATTATCAGTAAGATGGTCGATGCATTAACGATGTACATGAATACGCCATATCAATTAGCACAGGTAAGCTAAAACATGTAAATTTTATGCTCGATTGGCTACGGACGTTGTTTGCATTTCAGCTGGAGGCCTTCAAGAATGACAACGATCTGGGAACAGCCCAGCAGGCCGTTGAGAATGCCATCGAGATAGTCAGAGGCCATATGAGGTGGATGGACAAAAGTTACGGAAGTGTGGAAATGTGGTTTGCGCAACATTTACATAGGTACTCGTTTTAAATTCAGTAAAGTGCCACGCTTGTAGACGCGAAGAATTATGGAATTACAAGACTTAGCGATGGCTAAATAAATTAAATATTTATTACAATTATTATATATATATATATTTCACTTAGAGACATTGCAAAATATTGATTGAAAACGAAATCTATGTATTTTTTATTGATATTATCATAATTACCATAAAGACTTATTAATTCATTGTTACGTATTTATTAAGTGAAACCATTACACATTGTTTAGCTTAAATTGTGTATTCGTATTAACGCATATCTTTATGTAGACAGCACGTCAAAATGTCATTACTTTAATAAATCGAACACATATTTATTTTAAATACTTCTTTGTTTATATATTTATTATAAATTTTCTATATTATCCTATATTTCAGTATGTTCTAAAGACAGTTTTTATTTTCCATTTTGTTAAGAACAAAATCTAAACAAACAGTTTAAACTATAAGACAAATTAAAAACTGCAGTAGTTAAAGGTGTTACCTAAAAGTTAGAAAATTCCAAGTCTGTCTTATTCTACGGTGCTATCTAAAATATCAAGTCTGTCGTAGTTTATCTAAAATATTGAAAACTCGAGTATTTCAAAAGTTTATTTACTTTTTTTTGATGTTGTTTGATTTTTTTTATCTCACTTCGTATTATCTGTCGGTAAAATAGTCAATTTTGTCGAGAATTATATGAATTTTGTCGGGCAAAATCATTTAATTATTTTAAATATAAATATAGGCAACCAAACTAACTTGCTTTTTATTATAGAAAAATCCGTTGGTAACACTACTAATTTCATAACCACAAGAAGTTTTAAATTCTTTGGAAAATTGATGATCTTCAACAAAGTGAAGGTAATTTAACTACCTTAGAAAGCAATTCATTATCAAAAGAATACAACCTTTTAATTAAGGTAAGTCATCAATTCTTTAATATCGATTATCAGTTGGTTAACTAAAATTCACAAGCCTTTATTAATTTGAAATTGATAACCTATATTATTTTTCTCTGATAGTTGCATTTCTGGCTCAACTTGTGAACTTGCAACAATTTTGTATAGCTACGAAAGTACATTTACATTAAAACAAATAAATTTAAAAAATATCGAAAATGAAAATAATCATAAATAGAAATATTGTCATCTTCTTCTTGGTAAAATTATATCGGTTAATTGGCAAGAAAAGTATTTCTTTGAGAAATATTGAAGATTTTTTTTGAATTATGTTAAATCTTCAGAAAGCCAGTTTTTTTATTATATTCATCTTTTTTATGATCTTTTAGCCTTCCTCAAGCCACACAGACTATATGAATTGGGAAAGCGAAAGTTATTTCTATTTGTCAACAGTACTAACAGTTTGAGTTATGCATCCATATATACATAACTGAAAATTGAAATTCAAAATTGTTCTGAAGTGAATGTTTGAAGTGTCCATGTTCGTATATTTTTGCAAACAAATATAATTTAAGATTTAGTTTTTTTTTAATGATCAATGTAATAAATTGAACATTTTATATTGATACATAACCAACCAATTGTTACGTATCCATTGCGTAACGTGGCTTGCATGGAATCGGTAATTGCGTGCATAATAGCTTCAAACAGTTAACATTTATCAGCCCATATAAGATCATGAGATATCCGTAGTGAAGTTGGCGCCTGAGCATTGGGTTTTCAGGTTAGTGTCAGGTGGTGAGAGGAAGGAGAAGGATGTCATAATTATTTTCTATATTTGTTTTTAATTTTACCAATGAACCTGGAGTAATATTTTTATATTAACATTTAACCTTCCGCACTATTAGTTTTACACATGTAAGTGACGTTAAGATTTTAAATAGCGTAGTTGTAGACGAAGACGTTTATGGTGGCTGTTTGTAGGTTTACTCAAAAAGATGACAATTCTTGAAGATGATGTGAACCTCGAGAGCGGTTATTACAAGCGCAAATACGAGGACGCGGAAGAAGAGGAGGAGGAAGAACATAGATATCCAGCTAAGAAATTATTTTTGCGTGGCAATATGTTGAATGGTTATAGGGCAAATGAACATAGGTGTATTGGGGAGACAATCAATGATTGCCCAGTTGCCACCCTATCGAACACTGGGAACACATGCTACTTAAATAGTGTATTATATACTCTACGCTTTGCACCAACTTTTCTGCATAACTTACACCATTTAGTGGATGACCTGTTGAAATTGAACAGCAGGGTATCGCAAACGAAGGCCAAAAGCAGCTCATTGGGAAGAAATGTTGGACCTATTTCTGGTCCAAGCTCAAGAAGCACCAGCAGCAAAGACCTACTCTCCTTGGGTGGATTGAATGATATACCAAAATCAAAGGTTCAAATTGTTACAGAGAAACTGCATGAGTTATTTATGATTTTACATAACCTGGAAGAAGCTAGGAAAAAGGACTCCAATGATACATGTCAACCTGTTGCATTCTTGCAGGCTGTTAGAGAAGCTAATTATATTTTTGAAGGAAACCAGCAGCAGGATGCTCATGAGTTGTTAGTTTACTTGTTGGATAATATTAGAGAAACATGTGATTTGCTAACACAGCAGGCTCAGCACTTCCCTGAATTAATAGTTGATACTGAGGTAAGTTCAAACAGCAAGCTCTGGAATGTAAGGAAATCTTGGAAGAAAACTAAGAAGAAAGATAAAATAGTGATTAGTGAGGAGGAGTGTATTGACCATTGTGTAACTGATACAGAGGATTCAAATTCTTATGATGTGTTGGGGCCAGAAAGGAAAAAGTTCTATAATTTTGTTGCTGAAGATTTTGAAGGGATCACTTTGAGGAGAACAACATGTCTTGAATGTGAGTGTGTGACTGAACGCAAGGAACCATTCTATGATATCCCAGTGCCAATTAACTTCACTGAAGATGACTATGATGTGGATCCAAGTGTGATTTATAGAGATGCCTGTGTAACATCTGAAAAATTGTGTGATACCAATAAGTACATCTGTGACAATTGCCTGAGGCACAATGAAGCCAGCAGGGAGGTCACTTTTGAGAAGCTACCAAATATTATGGTTCTGCAGCTAAAGAGGTTTACGACCACCGCAGCCGGAGTGCAAAAAGTGAACACCTACATGCCGACGCCGCTGAGGATGGCCTGTTTCTGCGAATCCTGCTGCAAGAAGGGCGAGAACTCGTTGCATCACTACGAATTGTGCTGTGTGATAATGCATTTAGGAGCAGCGATGGCTTCGGGTCATTACATCGCGTACGTAAAAGCTTCCGACCAATCCGAATATTCAGATTGCTCAAGAGATCTTCCCAAAACGACTTTGTCTGCGAGCACCAGCGAAAAGTCACTAAACTTTTTCAAGTATTTTAAATCGAAGCCCTCGTCGAGTAATAATTCAGTTATAGAACACAAGAATGGGGTTGCATCGAAAAGTCTACTGCCAGTTTGTAAGAGCATGTCCTGTTGCGGCGTTAAAATGAACAAGAATGTTGTTGAGAACGCCATCAATTATTCCCGCCGTAATGGACAGGATCCGTGGAGGGCGCGCGAAGATATGTGGCTGGAATGCGACGACGAATCCGTCAGGCCTATAACTAGTCAGGAATTGCAGGATTTCTTAGCCTACAAACCGGGCGGCACCACTTCCACACCTTACCTCTTGTTCTATTCGAAAATCACCGAAAGCAGCGACGACTAATCGCTTCTGGGTCATATTACAACAACATCAACAAAATTATATATTCATACTCATTCCAAATTTGCAAATGATTGTGATACCACAATAATAATCATACGAATCGAGAATTATTTATTAACGAGACAAACAAAAATGCAATGCATATTAATGACCTGTTAGATAGAAGCCTCGTCTAAGACTTCGTTGCGCTCTGAAAGAGCTGTGGAATCTGTACGTTCTTATTTTTAAGATTTAGAAATATTTCTTTTTATAATAATTTCAGTATTAAGCATATAAATATGTTTTCACTATGTCATTTATGGAAGAAAAATATATTGATAATAACTTTTAACATTCCTCTTTCTCTATAATATAATATATATCATTAATTTAAATAAAGATTAAAAATCTCATTCGGCCTAAAGCTGGTGTTTTATTATTGCTTTATGTCATTGGACTTTTCGAAACGCTGGTATGTTAATTTTTATTTATTTTTTAATATTCATATAAATTCATGATACTAATCGAAATGCAATTAGCTGATGCTTATATAAATCGCTATTACATAGTAATAAAGGAACAAAAACGTGGATCTTAAATGTATATATTGTAATTAAAAGATGTACTGTACTTAAAATAAATATATTGTTTTAATTTGTTCTCGCTCTTGCATACGAAAAATTGAAAAGAAACATATAATAAAATAATAATGTAAGGTTTATTTTGTTATTATTATTATTTCAGTGCTCCTTTTTCTTCAGCATACACTTCAGGTGCTTCTCGTGTCTGTTCCGCCACTGGATGTTAACCTTAATCAACTCCAAACTTTGTCCCACTCCCTGCTTGGCTTCTTTGAAGTATTCTTCATTTTTACCAGTGAAATTTTTGAACTGTAAAAACCGAAAATATTAGTTTTTTTTTTCTTCGATTTCTTTATCTCTACAAAAAAAACATACCCAATCGTATTCTAGTTCAGACGTCATCTGACCAGCCAATGATGAGAGATATCTAGAAAGTCTTCTGGTATTTGGAGCTAATCTATAATATAAAATTTAGTTATTTTACATTATTTAATGTTATTTCGAGATTTACCTTTTATAAATGTCTTTAATATTTTCTTCTAAGAATCTTTGGGCAATGTAGAAACCAACGTCGTTTCCTGCGACTGTTGTAAACACGGAACTGTAATCCTGCTTTCTAATACCAGAGTTATCCTTTAATGTGAAATCGAGCAAACGCTTCAACAACCAAATTTCCCTGGTGCATCCTAAAGCGCTCATTATGGAATTTTTCTCGGTCGCCACGTTCGATTTCAAATACTGTTGCCACAAGAACTCCCACTCGGTTTCCGCTCCGCGTCTAATAGCGTTACAGAAGATAACTGATCTCAAGTCCTTAGGTATACTAAAACCAAAATGAGTTAAATCTAATACTTCCAATGATATCAATATTTACATTTCCGTGTTTGTTGGGTTCTTCATGTATTCTGCGAACATTCTGCTAGCCTCGCTCGCGCAATTTGAAACTCCAAATCTGCAAGCCCAACTGGCGATCAATGTTTGATGCTTGACAGCATCCAACTTTTCTTTGGTTGCTTTTGTCAAAGTCAACGCACCCACTTTCTCGTAAATTGGTTCCAGCAGTTCTTTCAAATAAACCTGAAATATTATTATTTATAACTTTGGTTTACAATTTTTAATGATAATAGTACTTTGAAGAATCCGTAAGTGGAAGTGCGTTTGATTCTTTTATTTAAAGCTCCAATGTTGCTGAGAGAAGCTTTCCATGGCAAGTACCTCTCTTCGCGATTCAAATATTTCACGAGATCAAAGAAAATTCTATAGCTCAGATCTCCGGTCCAAGCCAACGAAGAGGAATCATCGATCAACTGGACGCGATTCAAAACTGGGATAGATTCGAATTTGTCCGAGTTCAAAGTGTCCAGAAGCAATTGCCAGTTCTTTTCATCGTAATTGATTCTGTATAGACCGGCTGCCCTAATATTGAAAATAACCCATTCGTCTTGCTTAGGGAAACCTTCGAATATTTCCACGTTGTTGTGACAAGGCAACCAAATCTTCGGTTTGGTGTCGTTGAATTGCAGTTCTGTAGCTGTGGTGTAACTCAGGGGAACCCACCAGCATTGTCCGGCGCTCTTTGGCTTAATAGTGTCTCTGTAATAACGTTCCTAAAAAAAATGAAATGAAATAAATTGATTTTTATTATAATTGAATTTAAATTTACTTGTTTAAGTTCCAAAGCATTTTGTCCATACAATCTGTTCACGTGGATCACTGGATATCCAGTTTGCACTGTCCACGTGTCCATGACAGTTTTAACTGTGAGATTTTTCGGGAATCCGCTACGATGCGCTTCGGTGGTCAACGAGCTCCACAGATCGTCCTGTTCGGCGTTTCCGTATTTATGTTTCTTCAGATAATTGCTGACACCCATGCGGAAAGTTTCCTCGCCCAAGAACAAAGTCATCATTCTGATCAGGAACGAACCCTTTTGGTAAGCGATGGTGTCGAAGATCTGATCGATCTCTCTGGGATGGCCAACTGGAACGGAAACTGGATGCGATGTTTTGAGCGAGTCGAAGCCAAAGACGTTCAAAAGATTGGAAGCCGATTCTTCCTCCAAACTGTTCCATTCCGGGAAGATATGATGAACGGCTAATCCGGCCATGTACGTGGCAAAACCTTCGTTTAACCAGAGATCGGTCCACCATTTCATCGTGACAAGGTTTCCGAACCATTGATGAGCCATCTCGTGGGCGATGACGCTGGCAACTTGATGTTGACTTGAAGAAGACGAAATTTCAGGATCGTAAAGTAAACGGGATTCTCTGAACGTGATGAGGCCCCAATTCTCCATGGCGCCTGCAGCGAAATCGGGGATTGCGATCATATCTTGCTTGGGAAGAGGATAGTCCACGTCGAAGTACGTTTCGAAATAGTCTAAAGTTTTAGGTCCAACGTCTCCAGCAAATCGCACCTATGAAATATTTTTGTAAATATTGTTGAATTTTAATTTAATTAATAAGTTTACTTGGTTGAGAGCATCTTTCCTGGACCACACTTTGAAGGTGACGTTATTTGAGCTTCTGCTGCTCTCATATCCAAAATCGGAAATGATGAATGCTACCAGGTAAGTAGACATAGGAACTGTGTTTTCGAAATGGGTCCAAACCCAATCCTGCTTCTCTTTCCTGAAATGAAAAGAAAAATTTATTTACGTCTAACTATGTAGGTTGGTTGTATACTTACATTGGCTCTATTTGCTCGACGGGCATATTGCTTAAGGCTGAGTATTTTTTGGTATGCCCCATGGAAATCTTGAAAGTGGATTTCATGGCCGGTTCATCGAAGCATGGGAAAGCCCTTCTGGCGTCCGTCGCTTCGAACTGGGTCGTGGCCAAATATCGTTTCTCCTTCGTATTCGTATCCACAAAACTGCTCCTATAATATCCAGCTAAAACATCCTCTAGCTTCCCTTGGAAAGGTATGAGGATCTCGTACTTCTTGCCATCGGCAAGCGGTTCCTTCAGCAGCACCATGAAGAACTCGTTCTCCTTATCGTATTCAAATCCTTCGATGGCCTCAGTTCCTCCTCCGTTCAGATCCTTCACCTGGATCTCGTTCTCCGCTAGGTGCAAATTTTTCGAGTGCAACGTAACATTCCGCGTTGCTGAGACACATGTCGCCTGGGATATGTCAATATTTATTGGGAGAGAGAACAAAAAAAAACAACAAAATTAGCATTCTTCACACACAAAAATCCAACAGCTCCAATATTTATTTTTTACCTGAATCGCGACTTTTCCTTGGAACTCGAATTTGTCATTCTCGTCGCCCAAATTGGTGACAATATCTAATTTGTAGTGTTCGGGCACGACATCACCGGACAACCTGTAAGCAGTGCTGAGGCCGAAGAGCGCCACAAGGACGCAGGACAATCCCCTCATGTTCATCGTTCGGTGGAGCTGCAACAGAAGTGACACATTCTCTAAAACCGCATCGTAATATTATTTATTTATTTTTTTTGACACACATTCGATATAATGCAAGCTGAATCGGCGGCTCTTGTGGTGTCGACGAACCCGATGAATAAAACAGCAAAAAAAAGGTGGTGTTACGAAATTGCAATCGAAAATGTTTCCATAACTTTCTAACGATCGTCTGACAAAGAGCACAAAACCTCGAAATCCCCTTGCCTCGGTTTGAATATTAAAATGGTCGCATTGGTAATTATAGCTTTACCACGCTCAATATTGGCAAATGCGTTGCGCAAATTATTATCACAACTTCATTTTTTCATAATACAATTTTTTTGCAGACGATTTTCGTAACTTAATTTCGTTATTCCTTCAAAATCGACTATGATTTCAGAACATTTCGCACCAGCATTCCAATGGAGAATTCGTGGTAACGCGAATACCCTAAACAAACATAACTGTCAGGTGTTAAAAGTTTCCGGTAAATATTTGAAGAAAAGAGAAATCTTAATTACGTTAATTGCATTTATTGTTCTAAATAGATGCAATGGGAATAAGAACAATTTTCAATTACATTTACTTAATTATTTCAATTTTTATTCTTGAATTAATTAATTAGTGTTTCTTTATCGTAAAAAGAAAATCTTTACGAAATTTATAATTTTTCTCACTTACAATAATTTGTTATGAAACCAATACTGTTTTATAATAGTATTTACATTACTAAACTGATCACCTAGTTAGTGCTATTTGTAACACGAGTTGCTTAACTAAATTGTAGTTTAAAGATGTTCAAATGAAATTTTATTGTTCCAAAGAAAACAATATTTTCTTAAATAAATCTTTAGCTTTAACCATTATGTATTGAGTAACAAATGCGAAAGTAATATCTAATTACCACATATTTTTTTTACAATCTAGTCTTAATGCGAATATAATCTGACAGCAGGAAAAACACGTGCGTTACTTAAAAAACAATGTATTTGCACATTCAATTAAAGCGGTAAATTGTTCGATCACCGATACAATTGCTTAAGGTTCGTAAGTGGTCAAACTGTAAAAAATGTAGTTTTTAGTAATCATTAAACTTGTTCAATCCACGAACACAACACAAATCAAAAAGAAGAAAACAATATTTAATATGAAATTACCAGTTTTTGTTTGTATAAACTATTTTTAATGTGAACACAAATTAACAATAAGAAAAACACGTCCGATGCATCGAAAACATACGTATTTGCAGTGTCAATTAAACCGGTACATTTGCAACGTTAATAAAAAAAACACGACCAACGATTTCGTAACATAATTGTATTTAAATTTTCGCAAAAACAAACTGACCTAGCGCAAATTCGAAACCGCATTTTAAAAAGAACAATCCAATGCAATACTTTCATTGTGCTGAATCGAACTTGACCCACATTTAATTTGAACTTAATAAATAAATAATCTAGTTTTGCTGGTCAAATGAACTTTGTTATAAAATATTGGTTTTCCCTTATAAAAAATTGGTTAAATTATTCTGAAAACCTGTTTGAAATGATTTGATTGGAAAGATTAATGCTTACTTTTGATACTGTCCTTAGATTTATATTTAGAATATTACTGACATTTATTTACAACTTTCCCAAGTGTTTAAATAATCTAATTATAAAATTTATAATAATTATTAATATTGATTTTTTTGTAGTAAAGCAACAAGAAATTAGTTAGATGGGTGACTATCCCAATTTAGGAATACTAGAATATGAATACTACAAAGTGAAATTATGATAACTATTATTTTTTTTGTAATTTCTTTGGAACTCATAAGCATTCTTGTACGTTCTTCAATACTTCCGGAAAGTAGATTCAGTACTCACAGAGTAATTCCAAAACAAAGCGTTTGTGGTGTGCGTGAAGAATACTGATACATTATTAAGGTATTGTTATTTACTTCTTTATTTTTTACTCAGTGGATTTGAAACATTGATTCTTCGAGCTCATCGCTGTCGTATACAGTAAACAAAAAGAATATAGTGAAACAAGAAGCACTTACTTTGATCATCTATTTCGGTAGTTTTGTGCAGACTGATGGATGGTTGATGAAGCAACCAACGAACGGAACACGGCTTTTGTGCGATGCGATGAAATGATCAATACACTAACAAATAAATAAATCGCAAATGTGGGGAGCGCGCGCTTCGTTACGAAGAACGAAATGATTTGTTTGCATAACGAGAGTAAAATCGTTCACCATAATTCGGCAACTGCGTCACATTAAAAAGATTACATAAACACGACAGATTATCTATAAAAAAAAGTATATAAATAAATAAAAAAACTTTACTTTGTGAATTGATAAAGAGCGAGAGATGAACAAAATAAATTTATATAGGTCGAAATTGTTGATTTGTTTGTTACGCCGATTCGCATCTACCTGGTCAACAACCGCGTGTTTTCTTTTTCGAACCCACTTTACATTTCCTTTTGTTGAAAATGACGAAACTTGATAAAATCACCTACACGGTACAAAAGGTTGAATGAAAGATGCTTAACAGTTGTTCTTTTTTTTATACAGTGATTCCGAGAATTTGGATAAAACGCACGTTTTTTTTCTTAAAATGATTTTTCTGTTAAAGAATATTTTCTCACCAACATTAGAGAAAAGTTTCTTATAAAAAATAAATAAATATCGATAAGATATGAATTTCAATAATTTTCTCAATTTAATTGGACAATAAGACAAAATATTCTCATTGAAAAAATAAATGAACAAAATTTATTGGAATTTGGAAATTTTAGTGTTGTTGTTTGAATAGAAAAATACTGGAAATTCCAACCACATAACTTACAATCAAGTAAAATAGAAGTCTAAGTGATAATAGTTGTTGTTGGTAAATATATCGATCGAAATAAAATATTCATGAAAATAGAAATTTAAAAATTTCCCCATGTTCACTTTCGCTCTTCTACATCGATCGTATCGCATTAATATTATATGTATCGTGAATTGTTGATAGCTTACAACTTCTTTAATACGTGTAATTACTTAGATTTAATAAAGTAATTTATGTTTGGAGAAGTATGAAATACATACTGCATCAAAGCTTCTAGAAAATACGAGGAAATGCATGTATATATATAATAACAATTGCTTACAAAGCAAAAAAAACAGCTATGATTTTATTATTATAATAATTCAGTTTTTTATGTAATTGTATAAATGCTGCAATTAATATTGTTGTTATAACAAAGAAATTTAATCAATGTTAGTTTAAGAAAGGATAATGTAAATCTTAAGAAAATAGTTTTTTTTATTATTATTAACATGTAATATATGTTACATTGATTGAAAGGTAAATAAATATTGAATTTAATTAAATATAAAGTGGAGTAAATTGTATTTGTCAAGTATATTTGATAAATAATAAAACATACTTTTATTAGCAAAGACTCACCGCGGTCTTAAGGTACGTCAAGCACTAAGAGATGTTACCTCCACAAGAGGTAAACCTCGACTGGCAGATCGGACCACAGGTAAATGTATATATACAACAAAGCTAAGCGATCTCCCACCAATGGCTGCGAAAAAAATAAGGTTTCCTTTTGATTTACGGCACGATGTCTCCGATCCAATTGAGATACGGCGGATTGCCGTTCTGTATGGGCGTTGAAATCACCTCGCACACCTCGTAAGGGTGATTCTTTCGAACGTAGGTGGTCAGCTCGTCAACTTTTGCGGTGCGCGTTTTGATCATCAGCAGCAGCTCCGAATCCTCGTTGATCTCGCCCTTCCATAGGTAGACGGAGGTGATCTTCGGGATGATGTTGACGCAGGCGGCAAGGTTCTCTTGGACGATGCCGTGAGCAAGCTTCTTCGCGACAGCCTCATCTGGTACGGTCACGTAAGCCACGGAATGCGTTCCGGAGACGTACGTTGAAGGAGCAGGAGTAGTAGTAGTAGAGGAGGACATCCTTCTTGCCAGGCTGAAAAATGTCATTCGCATTTTGTTTATGTGGTCTTATGCAAAGGAAGGTGGGGTCCTTGCTTCAAACTTGAGCCACGGTGAGACGTGAACTCACTTAATAAGTACTTGTTTGGGATGAAATGTGCAGTGCTTTGACCTTGCACTTGTGTGGACGTTCGTGAGGCCGTTGGCCCAAACCGATTGATCTGATCAGATCTCTTCGCAAACTGCTTTTACGATTAACTGTACTCACTCGTTATTATTATTAGCGATATGCGTATAATAAGTGACCTTGTTCGTTCGCCAAAAACAAAGATCTCTTCGGACTCAATAACCTCCAAAACGATCAAAACTTTTTATTACGAAGCATTGGACTACTGACTTACATCACATTCGAACGATTGTATTCAAATTACAGCGTATATTTATACACACCTAAGTATTAAGCTGGAAATTAAAAACGACCTATGCACATACATTCGAGGTTGTTTAATAATTGCCGTTCGCCTCTATTGATTATGCGAGTTATGCTACTGAATTTACGTATTAGCATGTATTGGGTCACCTACCCTCCTACTAAATTACAAATAAACCCTATTGTATACTCTTATTTTCCATGATTTGAAGAAGGAAATTAACAAGAATATCACCATATAATCATAATAATAACAAAGGTTTAAGCAGAGAAGTCAAAACAACCATTAATTGATTATTTATGACATTTTAAATTAATAAAATATAAATGTATAAAATCTACTAATGTAACTATGTAAATACTAACTAATTAAATAAAATTAAGACAAATTTCACATTACTAAAGCCAAAATAAATAAAAACTATACAATCTCAAATAATAAGTGTGATTAAGTTAGTTATTAATTATTTAACTTGTTAACTTTATACATTTATTATTTAGAAATTAACAATTCGAAAAGTCCATTTTTTTCTAATACGATACAAAATACAATTAGACTATATCAACAAACTTCAATATTAAAATAGAAAACGGAATACATTTATTAGAACGTGCAGATCTTCGTTTTCACACGTTTAACAATAGTTGAAGGGAAATTTGAATAGTTTGCTTTTTCTTCTTGATGTTTTTTTTCTGCTAGTAAAGAAAAGCAGTGATCTTTCACCGTCCGTTTTTCACCCGTTGTATCACAGATTTGCTTTCACTTTTCGCAGGTATTATACATGTAATATAATGGCACCAACTTCTTTTTTTTTCTATACCATAATAGGATGGAATATTATAAAAGAGAAAGCATTTCTCTCGGTGATATTTGAATAAAATAGCAGTTGAAGAGATTCGTTGAAAGAAATTTGATGTTATTTAGAAAATTTAGTTTGAATACAAATACTGTGTTTATTGCAATTATATACAAATACTATGTTTATTGCAATTATATTGTATTGAATAAAATAGTAGTTTTCAAATATCTGTGAAGAGAATCGTTGTATGAAATGTACTGTAATTTGGTTAATTTAACTCGAATGAAAATACTGTGTTTATTCCAATTACACATTGACTTTGTCTATCAAGATATGTTTATGATGCTTTTGAATAATACAAGTACGTTATAGCATGTGCACAAGTCAAGGGAATTACTGCAAAGCGTGCGAACGAACGATAAAATCCATTAACATCCTTGCATTGTGTTCAACATACAATATGTAATGGAAAAATCGAAAAGAAGTGGAAGATAGTGAAGATTGAAAATATTTTTTTCTTTCGACAATTTATTATATATAATTGATATAATTTAAATTACTTCATGAATATATCTTTAAATTCACTTAAAGGTCGACTAATAGCCGAAGTCGCTCTACACACGATCGAACCGGCGACGGTTCGAATCTTGGTCAAGCCATGCCCTTTGTGAGCCCTCTCGATGCTTGCAGCAATAGGGCCATCGTTCATTACAGATGGACAGCGAAATTAATAAGGTTCAGTATATGGACCTTCAGCCAAGTCGATGGACAGTGACAGTGTTAAGGATAGCAGCAGATTCACAGTCAAAGAAAATAGTGGAATCACAGAGCATCAATATACTACTGAAGTTAATCTACAAGACGACAACCAAACAACAAATTAAAATCAAAAACCTATGTTTACTCAATGTTTACATTGATGAACAGATTGTGAATAAAATTACACGACATAAAATCAACAATGATTTTCATTTAACTTTTGTTTAAAAACTAAGAGGTTGAGTAATAATTTTTCTGTTTCATTTTGTCTAATTATTATTGATATGATTTATAACATTTCTTGATGATAAAAGATAAATTACCTAAAAAATCAGTAATTTATAATGATAACATTTATTGCTACAAAACTGTTATATTTTTTTGGATTTAATACTTGAATGTTTTAAAAGTAAGTTATTTTGTTATTTGTTTTCTTATTATTTTAAATATGATTTGTTTTTTTTTTCGAAATTTGTAAAGAAATAATTTGTCATTGTAGAGCAATGTTATTATAAGAATAAAATGTGTTTCGAAGGTAAGCCTATTGAAGTTGTAGTAAGTAGATTTTAATACATAGATCAATGAATAGCATTATCCTTGCTGCGAAGGTTTCACCCATGATCTTATTTTTTCCTAAATTGCACGCATTTATATTACCTGTACAAGTTTTGGTTCTTTTATTGAATGTCCTGATTTTAATGTATGGTTTCATGGTTAGTACAGATAATAATTATTAATACTTTTAATAAAATCTATTAAAAATGTTATGGTTGAAAATATTAGAAATGTTTTTTATGAATATTTTTTTTTCTTACAAGTATATTACTTTAAGTGTGTAACTTTCATTAAGCTAATCGATTGCTTGTGAACGTAATTAAAACACGCTTTATCGATATTGTAATAAGCAAACTAATTAACTAATTATGCGTGCGTTTCTTTAGTAGCAATGCACTCTACGCAGCCATCAGTATGTGCTCAAAACGCGAGGAAAACTTCGCATCGCTATGTCGGCTGATAATAAAATCCTCGAGAGTCATAGCCTTGTGTCCGTACGTTCTAAAAAACGACGAATTCGTTTGCACTGCGAAGGAGGTCCGCAAATCTAGGGCGATTATTTGCGTCCTGATCGTATTAACGCTGATTGTCATCATTATAGATGAATTGAACTACACTTTAAACGATCTGAACACTTTTCTTCAGTTCCTGGACAACTACACCTCTCTGGCAGTCGTCTGCTACTCACTGGTAGCTAACTACAATTTCCATTTGGTGGTCCAAGTAATTGAAAGGTTCCAGTTTTTCAACAGAACCATACACAAAGATGTTGGTGAACGGAAATTGATGAATTACGTCTTCATCATTTTCATATACTTACTCCCATTGTGTCATTTCACCAGCACTGTGTTAACTACGAACACCAGTATATCGTACATCAAATGCATCATAGCTTGCATTTACTACATAATTTACGGACATTTGATCAGTCTCCTATTCCTTTTCCGTTGGAAATCCAATCTGCAATGCGAGTGCATCTTGAGCAGATTGGAGGAATCCAAGTTGGATTTGGAAGAGGCCAGGAAATCTCTTATTAATTTAAACGAAATCGAGCGAATTTGGGGCAGATTCTTTCAGAGCTTCATCATCTTGAACTTAACAACAGCTTACATCCGATTGATCACGAGCATTTTCTTGTTCATCCTCTTCCACGATAAATATGATTTTAAGAAGCATTTTGCAAATATCCTTACAATAACCATGCATTCCGGAGCCGCAATTGCCATAATAATACAACTATCATTTCTCACAAAGGTAACATAATTAGATTTCCATTAATTTTATTATAAATTTATATATTTTTCTTAGGATAATAAAGTGGCTTTGCGATACGAAAAGTGTTTGAAGAAAGATTACAGACGTTATTTAATCAAGGTAATTTTTAAATTAATTGGTGCAAATTTTATTTTAGATTATTCTAGGGTGGATCAATTTTTTTGCACATGAAATTCGACAAGAAGTTTCCCAAAATGTTGATGCCTAAGAACAAGAACATTATGTTGTCTGTAAGATATTTTTAACTGAACGATTATACTTATTATTTTTTAACTAAAATTTTTCTTCAGGTGATTGGAAGTATGTTTGTTAATATATTGATTATGCTGCAATTCCATAAGTTAACGAACAATGATAATTTTAGTTTCAAAATTTAATAATACTGGGTTGGCAAGAAAGTACTTTCGGTTTTTAGTGTGAATATCATAAATCCGAATAAAACTGCTGGTCTATATCAGAAAAAAACTGGATCAAGTGGGATTTTAGGTTATCATAATTAGTAAAAGTTTTACCATTCAAAGAAATAAATGGTAATTTGATGGTATTTCCACAACTTGTGAGGCCATTTTCTATTAATTGCTTCCTCCAGTTCATTAGTTGTTGAAAGGTAAACATCTGAATTGATCGTTTAGTTTTTTGGATGCATAATATACACCTTTGTACTCTCACCAAATTGATAGCATCTTTCTTGATCCAATTCCGCTTTCGATATGCTATGTACTGGTTCATCACGCTTGGATCATGGATTTTCATTTGGTGTTATTGTAGACCAGTGGTTTGCAAACTTGATGTTACTACGCCTTCCTCAAAAGTATGTAATCATTTGGCGCCTCCCCACCCCCTTCCATTTCATAAAAGGAACGCGTATTACAGTAATATCGATAAAAGCACAGGAATGTATTTATACTTGCTGGATTTCCCAAACATTCAGCTTTCATATGCATATATTGGATTCATTCTATCTATTATGGTTTTCGAGTAAATCTATGAAATGTGAAAACACTGCCTTTTCGAACGTTCTAATTTAATTTTTTTAACTTTGAACGCGTATTACAGCAATATGGATAAGAGCACAGGAATGTATCTAAACTTTAGCAGATATTTGGAAAATTACTAATATTCGCGCCTCCCCTTAGACTAGTCCAAGCATCCCCAGGGAGGCGCGCCTCACAGTTTGGAAAACGCTGTTGTAGACAATCGATTTTTCATTGCTAGTTATGATTTGTTTAAAAAAGTGACGATTTCATTACGTTTGAGATGGATATTGTAAATATTGATGCGAATATCGAGATTCTTAACGAGTCGAAGACATTCAAGTAATTTTCAGTTGCTGTGTGTGATATATGTAACATCTCTGCAATCTCTTGCACAATTATGACTTTCATTTGATTATCATAAACTTCAATAAGTCGACTAATGTTCTGTTGTCAGCTTTGAGTGAAAATGTCCAAAATAATTAATATTTTTATTAACCAATTCTGTTAATCTATCAACATCATACACTTCACTTATCTCTTTGTAAACCTCAGTAGTTTTCTTGCCTATTCGGAAATAAAAGTAAAATATGTCGAAAATGTTCGTTTTTGCACTTTTGTTAATATTGACCCTAAAGGAAGCTAAAAGTGACATCTTTCAAATGACAAAAGAAAAAAACATTATTTTGTCAGAAGTCCCTCAAAACTAACATAATGCTATTTATTTGTGAATACCGAAACTAGTTTCTTGCCAATCAATGCAAATTTTAGCTAAGAAGTAGGAGTTGTCAATTAATTTCTCAAGTATCACTTTTATTGATTAGAAAATGAAATGAAACAGTTCAATCCGATATGCCTATATCTTTGAATTGGAAAAGGATCATCAGACTATTGATAAGGCTTCCTATCAACTAAGAAACATAAAAGTTAACACCTCATTGTCTTCAAAAAAAATGTAATTATTACTACTAAAAAGAAGTTCCAGTTGATTTCATAAAGTCCGCACGCAGAAAATGTGTTGCTTTGAAATTTAACTTTCATTAAAAATATCATCCGCTGAAAAAAAAATAATCAAATTCAATAGAAATTTTGGATACTAACAAATAACTACTTTACCTCGTTATAATTTAAATCGTGTATCTTCATTGCTCGTTCATAACACATAATTGTTTTCTTTGACTGAAAATATTAAAAAAAATAAATTATTTGTTTATTTTAATCTAAAATTTGCTTTAATCAATTTTAATAAATTGTGCAAGAATTAAATGCTTACTTCTTTTGCTATGTTTTCAATGTAATATATAATTGTGACAATTTCCAAAGTTGTGTAGAAACACCACGTTATGCCCAAAGCATCACGAAAATGAAACCTGATTACGAAATATATATTGGTGAGGAGGTATCCCATGCAAACGATAATCTTAATAGCTAAAAAAAATCCGAAGAAATTTTCAGTTTCCTCATCGATGGTTTTAAGCAAATTGTAAACATTCTTCATCGTTAAAACGTTGTGATATTTCTGAAGATTTTCGTTGATTGTTCTGTAACGGTTACCGCACTCCTGCTTAATGAATATTAAGAGTATAATAATATTTGCACTTGCCACGTAACCCAGGTATATAAAATATGCTAGGAATAAATAGAAAGTATCGAAATTCTTTAAAATAATTATAAAACCGACGATTAGAGCCAGAAGTGGAATGATGTGAAATAAACCAATATTGAAGATCAGTTTTCGTTTGGATGCATGGAATTCTCGTCGTGAAAACCCGATCATGCCATCAATAAGGTCGACGTTTTCGACAATTCGAACTACTTTGTAAAACTGCCAACTGCACAGAGGATAGAATATTATGTTTACAACGAACGTGTTCGTCATCTGCGAGGAAATTATGTATGCTCTGAGGTTGATCACATTTATATCGTTGATTAGGTAACATAGGTATATCGTCAATACGTATGACATCACCAGGAATGTGATGAAACCGTTGATTATTTTCTTCTTTGTGCATGTAGTAAATTTGCGTTGCGAATTCAGATGGAATGCGCACATTCCCGACAATCTGCAAATTCTCACTAAAATGTTGAACACTTCGTGAAGGTCTTTCGGCGATTCGAGCATGCTTGAGGAGATCAACTGAATTCCATTAATGTAATGAACCCATTCATTTCAATGTTTGTATACTCGAGACCAGTCAAGTAATGCAATGTAATTAAGTATATTGAAATATGTTTATGTACGTTTATCGATTACCAATTATGATGTTAACAGATTGTACCTTATCTACCTCAAGGAATTATATTTGGTCATAACATTATATTAAATTGTACAGGTAACTTATCTGAATTTCCTTTCCTAATCACATTTTCTACTAGTATCAACTCAGTTTTAATTGTGAAAATTATAAAATAATATGTATCCAACAGAGTTATATTAACTTTCTATTGTGGATTGCAAATTGAGTCACCTTGTGTCAAAAACATACAAAGAGTACATCTACAAATATGATGGGTCGTGTGATAAAAAGGTTGAGAAACGCTGCTATAAAATATAGTTATACCACATATATTTAAGAAATGCAACTTTCTGAACATAGTTTCAACTTAGTACTTAGACTAAGTACAATAATAAAATATTGCTGAGATTTAGAAAAAAATATGAAAATAGATGTAATAAAAATAAGAATTAAAAAGTGTTTTTTTACCTACCTGTAGAACACCAATTCATTGAATATTAAAACCTAGAAAGGCGCGATAATCGAGGAAAATTATGAATGAACTTATTTTCTGTTACATTTATGTAATTTGTCGATCGATTTTGTGAAGCGGAATGAGTCGAAAGAAACACGAGCCACATAAATTATTAAAAACTATCAGTCTACAGTTTTTATTTCATTGCACAAAGAGAACATAATTAAATAGGATAACATAAAAAAAATAATAATTAAATAAAACGAATATACACAATTTCGAAAGGAAAAAATATATAATTATATTTCATTTGTACTAAGATTAATAGTGTAATGTAAAATATATATTTAAATATATTTATAATATATAAAAAAAAATAATAATAATAGTAATAATAATAATCCCCATATGAAATAATCGAAGTGATCGAATTAGAAATTCAAAAGAAACAAAAAACGAGAAGAGTAAAAACCAAACAAAAATTAATACAAAAATAATAATAATTGAAACGCACTGATTGATTCTTTACTTCGTTTATAGAATTATTTTTCTCATTGTAGACATAATATTTGCTTAAATAAATGTACAATATATTTACAATATTTAGCAAAAAAAAAAGAATTATATTATAACATAATTACATAGGTCATAGTTATTTCATTGTTTCGCAAATTTCCTCTTATGTTTTTTTTTGTTATCTGTTTTTTTTTATAACTATTTTTTAATTATATTCCTTTTTATATCTGTGTTTGTGTCTTGGTGTGTTCTTCTGTGTGTGATAAGTGTGTATACAGTTTATTCACGTTCTTTTAAGATCTATGCCTTCTTTATTAATCTTTATCTAATCGAAATATATATAAAATTGCCAATAATTTTTCTTGTTTAAATACAATATTGACTTTTCGTTCAATTTTTTTGTTGTTGTTGTTTAACATTCGAGATTTCTTCTTGTCTTGGTCCGAGAGATTGAGAATTGGAGAGAAGAGGAGCGGGATTATATATATATATTTATATGTTTTGTAAGTATTGTTTCGGTTAGATATGTGTGAAATTTAGTTTTTTTTTGTTTAAATTTAAATTTCGTTTTGGATTATTTCCGTCAGTGAGCCGTGGTTTGGTAGTGCGACATCCCTATCCTCTCCTTTCTACTTACATACTTCTTATATTCTTTATTTTAGCTGCTGTCCTCAAAAGAAAATAATGAAAGTTAACAAATTAACAGAAAGAAAAGTTGATCTCTTAATATTTTTTTTGTAATCATTTAATTTTCCTTTTTGTAAACTTTTAATAAATATAAATATGTAAAAAAACCTCTACTTTGGCTACTAACATACATATCAACATCTATTTAAACTATGTATTCCTTTCGTTACGTTTTTTTATCCTTCATTTTTAATTAGTTTATTTTAGAATTAGGTTTTTTTTCTTCTTTTCTTTAATTATTGGCAATATAATAATAGACGGCGTTCGTCAATTCCGTTGAACCGTTTTCTCTGTCGTCAAGTTAACTTCCCTTTTACATTCATTGTATATTATTTTTTTTTTAACTTTCGTCGCGGTTTCCAAAGAATGTACTAAAAATTATAAGCTTCAGTTAGGAACTTGGACCCTATATATATATCATATAAATATATTTTAATTGGAGTGAAGAAAATTTTTAGTTTTTAGCTAACATTCGTCGCGGCAAGTCCTGAGCACGCGCAAGGATTCGTTTGTTTCAATTGGGGGGGCGGCGGGTGGAGGATTTATATATATATATGTACACGAACAAAACTCGTTCCCGAAGATTTCCTCAATCGACGACGTTGGTAAAAAACACAATTTTAGCAGCCACATCATTTTATTTTTTATATTTTTTCATCTCTTTTTATTATATACTTTTCTTCATCATCATATTACACACTTAAATTAAATAAATCGCCTTCCATGTTTTTTTCTTTTCATTCAATTTACTCTACTAATTACAAAATAAAATTGACAATAAACGTTGAATTACTTTACTTATTATATTATTTATCACAGTCTCAGAGTTCTTAAATATTCATTTTTCTTCTATATATATAATATACTTTTTTTTAATTATGTGGATGCAATTGTATTCTTACAAAGCCTTAGTATTATAATTAATTCCTCAAGTTTTTTTTTGTTGTTGTATCATATAATTAATATAATATTCTTATAAATTGGTGCATTAAGATGCATTCAAATCACGTAAGCTTTTGAATGTACCTTTTTCTGGGGGGCGGGGGAAGAAAAGGGGGTTTCTTTGCGCGTGGTCACACTTGCCTCGGTTCACGGAATTGATTGCAGCAGATAATACTTGAAGCTTATGCACATCCAGATGCAAAATGGCCGCTTTAATACACAAAAAAAACACGAAAACCAAAATAATAGAAGAACAAGAGAGAATAAAAAAAAATAATAACAAGAGAAACAGATTTTAATCGTTAACTGTAACTCTTAGAATTCATTTTTCGGCCATATGTAAGAAGTAAGTACTAGATTGTTTGGTTCCAACTGCTATCCTAATATTCATTTTTATTTATGATTTTCATTTAATACTATTCTATTAACTGGCCGTAATAATTTTCGTGACTTGCTTCATCGGTTCATCCGGTAAATGCACGAAGAATTAAACACAAAATGATACGCATATACATTAGTCAATATATATGCGTATATATATAGAGAGAGAGATAGAAAGAGAAGGAAACTTACTACGTTTGATTAAAATCTTACAAACTTAACTATGTATATATGCATATGAGACACGGTCAACCCATGAAACAAGTCCATTCAATTTGTGTATTTCCATAATAGTTTTGTTTTGTTTTTAAGTTTAATATAATAATATATGCCATTCTTCATCATCATTTCATTTTTTTTCTTTCTTTAAGTAGGTATGTACAAATAATACAATGAAAATAGTTTGATTTAGACCTTTTTCAATAATTAACACGTTAGATTGTTCTATCACACTTTGTTCACTCACTTGTTCACGCTTTACATTTAAATAAAAAAATTTGAATTGTGAACACAGTTGAGCCGAGGAACTCTGCTTACTCAAACAGCGCTAGGATGTCGTCACTTGTGGAAGTGTTTGTTGGTCCAGAACTGCTTCCGCTCGACGGCGGCGTGTTTAGATCCGGAGGATCCAAGTAGGACAGCAGTTCCATGGGGTCCACACTGTCAGGAAGCAACTGCAAGCAGAAAGAATAACAAAATTACGAAAATTGCATAAGTAAACTTATAGTGTAAGTACTAAATACTTGTTAATTGTGCGCACCACAAGAAAAGTTGCTGAAGCTTCAAAACTAATTCGTAAGTCTGGTTAAATGCGTTGTTGTTGATATTTTATTTTAAAGACTAATTCAACATTAATAGCATGTAATTTCGAGGTGGACTTTCGAAGTATAAAATGAATGTAATAAAATGAATTAACGCAAACAAACGTGTTTGTCTTGCGTGTGCGAAATATGTTTAATATAACAAATAAAGCGCGTGTATTATGTGAAGCCGGTTCGGTCGGTGTGCAAAGTTTAAACAATCAGTTTTGATTATTACTATTGAAAATGGGATGTTAATTGGTTCGAGGTGGTCTATACGTACATTAAGAGCTTCTTGTCCCGTTCCTTCCCCATCAATGACGGCGGCAGGATCAAAATGAAGGTCGGATGGGATTTCCGGCACATCGGAATTCGAGCTGTTATTGTGATGATGGTTGTTGTCGTTGGAGGGCGGTGGTACGCTTGGTGGTCCGGTGCCGCCCCCAGGGGTGTGGGCCGATCCCGGCGTGTGTGGAGTATGCGGCGTGTGCGGTGTGTGTGGGGTGTGAGGCATCTGCAAAATAGATTAACATCGATTGTAAAGAGATATGAAGAGCAAAAACAAGAAGTTGATATGATTCGAATAATGATTATACAAAAACATACCTGGTCATTCAAACTCTTTTCCATGGCATTAAGAGGATCTAGATTGTTCACGGATTCGCTGAGGTGGGAGAGAGGTCCGTTTCCAGCGGTGTAGTCGTTGCTGGTGGCACCGTTCGAGGAGGAATTGAAGTCGTAACCGCCTTGGCTGTTGCCTCGCGAATTGTTGTAGGTCGGAGGGCCGTTATTCATCATGGATCCACTGGAGATGCTGTTCATGTCAGGCGTCATGTACGGCGACATCGCCTGGTTCATATCCCAATTGTTCAGTGTCGGCAGGGTCATGCTACCTGGCGACATCGCCTTGTTCATTCGCTTCGCGCCGCAAGAGTCATTATCCTCGTTCTCCATCTATTCAACCACAAAAAAAAAAAGAATATATTGCACGTGATCTATTTTCGGGGACGTTATTTTACAAGCATACCTTTATGTTGGCGCCGACAGATTTAGCCGCCTTCCAATTGGCTGCACTATCTATGGTGACTTCGTCCACCTCTGAACTGCTCAGCGTATTTAGGATGCCCCACATGTACTGGTCAACTTCTAATCCCTCCAATTGCGCCGCTTTGCTGTAACAATGAGGATTCATTAGGAAAATTGTGTCTTGGAAATCGCAAACGAAATAACTTACTTGCAGACCGGACACCTCCAGGTCCCTCGCTCGCAGTTAAGCTGGAGGTATGATTCTAGGTCGAAGCACTGTATGTGCTTGCATTCGTGTCCCCGCGCTGGTAGCGTGATCCTTCTGAATGTGATCGGACACTTCAGAGATACCTTCAGAGCAGTCTGCTCAACTGTGTCCCGATCAGGACCAGAATTGGTGTTGTTGAAGTTCCTTTTGATCTTCGCAATGCATTGATCAGCGGTGAGCAACCGTTTCTTAAGTAGACCTTGTAAAACGGAGCGTACGCTAGGCCTGTGCACCAATTGCAATACGAAAAGATGCGACTGTAAGAAATAAATAATATTTTAAAACTATTCAATTAAATAGTGGTGATTTTGGTTGTTTTTGTTCTTTTTTAATTGAGATGTTTGTGTACTTACACAACAACAGGCCGAGACTGTGATTTGAATGGTGTTGCGTCCCGGTTGGCAGACGTCCTTTAGGTAGAGTGGTTTGTGTGTTATTTTGTCGCCACCTCGCTCGATGACCAAGGGCGTAGCGTTGACGGAGACCTGTACGGAAGCCGGCCAATTGGTGTTCATCCCTCGGTCCTCGTGATGGAAGCACTTAAGTTGAAGTTCCAAGTCGGAACGATACATCAGCGTTTGATGTATCGTCGGCTTCAGTTGGAACACATGGTTACTAACGGCTAAATTGTGCTCTAATCTAAATGGCGGCAAAATAATTCCGTCTCTCACTGGGAAGGTAAGTCTTAACTCATCATCTTCTGCAAAAAAAAAGGGAACGAAAGATCGAGCGTTAATAAATCTGATTGCATGATGAAGTGGTGAGATGAACTTACTTTGTACTGGTATAGGTGGTTTCAGATCGTTAAAGTTTGGTTTAACGTCCGGATTCGGGCTAATGTAGGGAGGCATACTGCTAGCAGGCGTCAGCGGAGGCGTTGGGTTTCCTGGTATCGGACTGTGCTGGTAATTCATGTTGCTCCTCATCCCGACTTCCTGCTGGAACTGCTGGCTGCTATTGTATTGAGGGGTACTGTTGGTATTCATATATTGGCTGGCGCTTGCAGAGTGGAATTGGCCCATCGAGCCGTTGGGGAAATACTGTCCTTGCTGGGAGTAGGGCGGCGTGTTCTGGCGCACCTGACCTGAGCCCCCGCGGACTGGACCCATGGTGCCTGGGCCGAAGTTCCCAGTGGGTCCGATGGACTGTTGGGCGGGATACTGGTTCTGGAAGGTGGGTTGTCTGGCCCCGTAGCCCGGGTACTGGCCGTTAGGATTAAAGCTTGGATTCATGGTCGGGCAAGGGCCGGTAGGGTAAGACTGAGAGCTCCTCTTCTGGGCCATGTGCATCGAGGGGGAGGGATATGGGGCCATTCGGCGTGGGTACATGGAATTGTTCGATGGGCCTTGCATCATCTTCGTGCCCATGTTGGGCATCATGTTGCCGTGCATGTTGCCCATCGGCATATTTGCCATATTGTTCATGTTATTCATAGGATTCATCCCGTTCATAGGCATCATTCGCTGCTGGTAAGCTTGGTTGTATTGCTGGTTCGAAAACTGAGTATTGTCCTGCAATGCGACCACACTCGCGGTGGCCGTCGCTGTCGCGGTTGCTGCTGCTACCATCGCCGCAGTTGACAGAGCGTTGCCGCCCCCGTAGCCACCCTCGGCGCCGTTCATTCCACCGCCCGCCGCTCCATAATTTCCCACTCTAAGAAAAAAAAAAAAAACAAAACAAACATTTAGATACATTCAACCAAAATAATATTAACACTTCAACAATTTTCAACAAATTTTATACTTGAAATATAAATTATTTAATTAATTTTTATTTAGTTAAAACAACTTTGTAATATTTTCGTCATAAAATTGACAAATAATGTATGTTTACAAATACACAATACTAAATATTGATATAGCATGAGTAGTATCTAATAAATATGATAAATACTTGAGAAATTACTTTGAAAGTATTGCATGTTTCTGCCTTTTTTTCTTCTCATCAAATCAATATATTGTTTCTATAGATATATTTGCATAGAACGTTTAAAATTAAGAAAGGTCGGTAATGATTGGAACAAACAAGTAAAAACATTAAAAAATGTTGGCTCATCGAGCTGCGTTGGCAGAGGAACATAACATTCAGGGAACGAAACATACACAGAGAGAGAAATGTCGCACCGCCGCGGCGTGGATTTGTTTACATTCCTCGCGTTGTGCCGCGACCGCCAATGCTTTTTTGGAGGTGCGCTCCTCTCGATGGATGGATTGTTGGTCGGTTGGATGGATGGATGAATATTCTGAAGCTCGTTCGAATATAGATCTTCACGTGCGAACAGTTTTGTGGTAATTACACCATTCCAGCGTTTCATATAAATACATGCCGGGGCCCCCGTTGCGTAACAAATTTATTTGGACCGGCTCCAATATTATATAGTAATTTTAGTTCATTTTCTAATTATTCCAACGACGTGCCGAGCGCGCGGATCTATTTTCGATTTGGAGGATATAGAATGCACACACATATGTACATAGAAGCAGGAGCGAAACTTAGCTCAAGCTCTGCTCTCTGGGCTCCACCGTTTGCCGTCGTCGTGTGGCGAATTTTTAGAATCGTTCAATCGATTTCGAAATCCATTCCAGGCGTCGAAGGAAATGAAGAAAATATATATAGAGAACTTCGGAAGAGAGTAGAACGCTTGATGGATGGATGGGTTCGAGAGTCGAAGGGCTCAGGATATAGGGGGCGAAATAACGAATAAACGGAAGAAGTAAAGGAAGGAAGAGATGGTTGGTGGTGGTGGTGGTACAGAGGGCAAAAAAAAGCGGTCGTGGGGAATTTTAATTAAAGCAAACTGAAACTAGTGAATGTTCAAAGGCAAACGTACGTTAAAAGGGTATTTGAATGAAAATCATATTGTGACAAAACGGGGGGGAGAGAAGGTGGTGGTCCGGATATAGTTATATATATATATACACGTTGGGCCTCGCAAACAATAACCCAGCACAAATACACACGTACACATGGTGATTGTCACTGGGGAACGAAAAACGCAAGCTGCGAATGCGAGCTTTATGACTAACAATAGCTCAAAAACTGTGGGGCTGTTCGACTGTTAGCGAACGATACGTTGTTCATCGTGAGGAAAGTGTGCTTTACCTATGCACAGTCGATTTAGTGCTTTTAAATACGACGACATCCGGAATATAACAAAAAATGTTTTTTTTAAATATATAACGTAAACACCGCACTTAGTTGGTATGATCTAATCTATGTACCGATGCCAATTGATAATACTTTATTAATCGGGCCCCGATATCGATTGTTTGCTGCAAGTGTGGCTGTTCCAGCTATTGATTTTCCCGTTTGTGTGTATATGTGTGTGTGTATGTTTTCACACAAATGATTCCCAAGTAGCGGGATTCCTCCTCCTCGTCCCTCGACTGTTTTCCTAGCCAACCCTCGCCCCCTCCCATCGCGTCGACTAGGTCACCTTTGTTGCAACTTAGCCCCTACTCTAATTGCCCTGCATTTCTCAAATACCTGGACGACCAGCCTCGATTTTTTAGGAAATAACCGACCATTATGTTTCTGTTTAGTAACCTTTTTCATACATTCCATTCACAACAAAAATGCAACAAACTTTATTTCGATATGCATTTTATTCTTGCATACACTTTTCCATTGAAATTAATTGATACAATATTTACTAATTAATTAATTGATATTAATACGAAAATCAATTAAAAAAAACAACTAATTGAATTAAAAAGTTGATGCATCTCGAACGCTTTCCATGTACTGTACACGCACACAAACAAACATGAACGTGAGAAACAAGTTTGTTTATCGGTAGTAACTGTCATAGTTGGAAGGTTGAGAGCTCTATGGAAACAATACGCCGGAATGGCCTCAACCCAATTCCATAACACACACACACATATACACACACACACAAAAAAAATAAAAACTCCTCAGACGTCGGCCTTTGAGTCATCGTTTTCAGTAAGGGCGCCGCTCCCGTTAAACGTTATTTACTCGAATCGAATCAAACGTTTTTCTTTCTAATCCGCACATGGAAATACCGAGTTAATTGTTCACGTGCGGTGAGAAGCGCGATTAAACGAGAAACAAAAATCAATATCATACGTTATTTATAGAAGACCATCGAAGAAAGAAAACCGGAATCGACGACGGTACGAGAAGAATCCTTCGTGTTCTTCCCCAAGGCTGGAATTTTCGAAAACGCGTGCGGCCGACTTCCCATCCTTTTCATTAAAAGTCCCAGTGCGAAACCGCCGTCCCCGCAATTCCCATCGAGAAAAAGGGCAGACAGGAATTGTACCTGGCCTTTAAAAATGTCCCCTTTGTAACGAAAATAAAAAGAGTCTAAGCTCGTAATGAAGTAGGAGGCGACGCTCACAGGATTTCAATATTTTCCCTCGGTTTCGCGTGCAGACGGTTTATTTTTTAATAAAATTTCGAATTACGTGCAAAAGCCTGTACGCGCATGCAGCATTCCTGTATTATTTATTTATTTTTTTTATATGATTATAAACGTCTTTTTATCGTTACGTAATTATGTAAACATGTAGCCATTGTTGTCGTCGCTGCATGTGTGCGTTATTATTATTTGTTTCTCTCTCTCTATCCATTGTTATTATTTCATTTTGTTTAGCGTTTTAATTAATTTGAAAATAAAAAAACAACAACAACGATGACGACGGGTATCGAAAACAACATACTTTGACTTTGTCATCGGCGATCCTTATGTAACTGAGGCGGCAATTTTTTTTCCCCTCCCGACAGCGAATTTACATTTCGTGTCGCGCGGAGAGAAATAAACAAACCATTATTTTTGTTTGTAGCTCGAACGCAATTAAAAACAGAGTTATAATCAATTGTTCGTGCGGTGAAATGAATACGGGCGAAAAGGAAGCCACCGACGACGTTAATTGTGTTGTAGTCCTTATGTTTTTTTTTTCATTCGCTTAATGAAAACAACAATTCGACTAGTCAAATCCTGTACCTTATCTTATCTGCATATTCGTGTGACGATTGCAACAAAAATGCGTACGTTTAATCAATAAAACCCAGCTTATCTTTTCGCAAGGTGAAAATATTAGATTCGTTTTTTCCGTAGAAAATACTACCAAATTTGAAGAGAAATTCATCTTGCACATTGCAAAAAGGAATTGATTAATTAATTGAGCCGTTGCATACTTGCATTGCAAAGGACGACGGTATTAATTAGCTTAATTGGAGTTCATTACACTCGAAATATTCACGAATTCGCGGAAATCGTTTATAAATGATACTCTAGCCCGAAGCCTCGCACACTTCATCAATTAATTAATATTAATTAACTAAATATTAAACGAAAAACAAAAATTAATTACAGACACATCATTCCCAAAATAATTTCCTTATTTTTTAAATATACGTTTTTTCTTGCCTATTTTTAAACCTAATACCTAATCATAATAACGGTGAAACATTTGTTTATAGTGAAAGAATCCACAACATTCAAGTTTGTTATTCTAGAAATGTTTATCTTTTAATAAACAAATTGTTCGCAGGATTTTTTTTATTTTCTAAACGTACTCGAATTATTTACCATCACGATCAAAGTCTATGTTTCCCTTTGTGCGAAGCGCTTATCACTCTATGTGTTTATTTTGCTAAATAGTGAAAATAATGATTGTAATTCATATGCGTTAAGGATTATAAGATTAGAGAATGCCTTATTCAATTTACAACGTTTATCTCTTCAATGTGTACTTTAACACATTTATTTCCTGATTTACAAAAAAAAACAATACTTTTCTATTTATGTGTAAAAATGTGTACAATATTATTTCAAATAAAGATTTTTTTTATATTTCATGAAATTTTTGCAGTTTTTAATATTATTATTTACGTTTAAACTTTACGTTTTTTTTTTCTTCGAATTTCTAGTTTATAAATATTATTCTTGTGCAGTTCTTTCAAATTCAGTATTTAAAAAATTTAAAGCAATAATTTAGATTATTACAATTTTGTCACTTAATTTTATATTAAAGTATTATTAAAAAATTTAGATTTATCAATTTATTTATATTTTCTTCCAAGAAAAATGAGCAATTGAGTTAAGTTTTGTGGAATTGAAGTTTTGAGTAAAATAAAATATTTTAATTTAAAAGTAAATGTTACAAAAAAAATATTAAGAAATTCGATGCAAAGAAAATGTAAAATATATGATTGTTCTGATTTTTTTAAATTAATTTAGTTTATAAAAAATAAATAAATCTACTATTTTCTTTATATAAATTAGAAACTAATTTATATTTCGAGTTTTGTATTTGTTGAATTAAAGGAATATATAAATAATAAATAAGCGTTTTTGTTATGTGAAAAGTGTTGGCAAAATAGAATTAGTAGATGTATAATTGCATTAAAGTGAGACTTACCCAGGTCCGGTCTGGCGGTAACCAGTTTGGTAATTGTTAGGTGCTTGTTTGTAGCCGGAATTTGGTGGTGGAGGCGCAGGGCCGGAGTTCGCGAACCCTCCGTGCGGTCCCGACTGACTGGACGTGGTGACACCCCACACCGTGGTCACGACAGACAGTTGCTGTTGGGCCGTGGCGCCCGCTGGCGACCAGTCCCTGCAAAAAGGACACTTTGTGTTAACAACAACAACAACAAGGAGAAGAACAACAACATTAAACAACAAACGGACACAGCACAAATAACATGATTTCAACAACAAAAAAAAAACAGTCACTTTTCACCGAGATTCAATAATAAAATATCGCACAATTGTTGTTCCGACAATTAACAGCGACGACACGTGCGTCCCTACATAATTTACTTATTATTTTCGAAATTGTTACGATTAGCGGAGCGCGCTCCTCGTGTGGTTTAGTTTATCACGCGAGGCGTTCGAAATATTCGAAGGACGAGCCCCGATATTAATTGCCATTAATTTGAAAGTTGTACCGATTATGCAGAAATTCTCGCGTGCGGATTTTTCGAATAATAAATAAAACGAAAAAAAAATAAAAGAAATAATAGAAGTGCAAAGAAATCGAATGAAATTACGATAACATGCAGATTTTAAAAATATTTTCAAAAAAAAAATTATATAAGTCGCGAGTTGAAATTCGATCACTGGTTGCACACTGTGTCCGCACCACTCGTTGAAATCACTGTGCACTAGATTCGCGATCAAACAAATTCGGTGGTAGTAATCCTATGTCCTGGAAAGCGAGAGCGATTTTTTTTTTGTTGTAAATGAGAGAAAGAAAGAAATTTGTTGTACCTATAGGAAGTATATCCCAGCATTTGAACGAAAACATAAAGTCAATAATCCTTTGGGCAGTTTCACACAAACATTATTACTGAGTCCGTATTTTTGTTTAGTTTCAAAGTTTCGGAGTTGTGCGGAACTTCGTGCGGCGGAAATGCGGATGCGCTTTTTCTTCACTTTCACCCGGATTAATCGACTTCGATGATAATTTTTGTTGATCAATCGGTTGATCAAAAAAAATACTTGTGATGATTTTTTAAAACTGTTCGCCTCTCTCGGAGGATTCGGAGGTCTCTCTATTGCGGAGGAAACTGTTGTTGTGTTGATGACTGACTGAATGATTGACTATGTGTGTGGGAGAGACCGGAGAGAGAGCGTCGTTGCTTCCGTGAGCAAACGCGGCGATCGACTGGCGCGCGGACTGTGACTGGTATATCCAGTGCGGTGTGCGCTGGTACTCTGCAGGCGAAACAACGGCACGGCACGTACTCGTACCGCCACAAAGGACGAACTCGGGTCCTCCTCGGGTCGGGTCCCTATGTGGAACAGAGGGAGAGGAGGAGAGGCGACCGCCGCAGGAGTGGGAGTGAGAGAGAGGACGCTCTGGAACCAGAGTGCGAGAGAGAGAGAGTCATTCAGAAAGAGACACGAATAGATGGTTATAACCGTGGAGGAGTGAGTGAGAGAGAAGTAGAGAGAGAGGTAGAGAGGGAGGTCGGATGAGGAGAAGTTGACCCGAGAACCGATTCTCCTCCATTCCGTGCGGCCACAATATCGGTTATGGGCCGCGCTGTTGCCGCGTCTCGACAACGCGCCCGATACCGTGGGTGGATGGATCTCCGTCCGTGCAGACCTCCTTCTCTTTCAACAGTATACCATGCAAGCGTCTCACTCCCTCGCACCGGCCGCCCGCTACACTCGATGCCGAGCGCCAATTTCTCCTAATGGAATATTTTATCATCCACCCACCATCAACACCGCCACCCACCCACCGAATCACCCTCCTCAGACCCCCAGACTAACAATGCGGGGTGGGTGTGTGTACGAGAGAGAGAAGCAGAAGAAAAAACAACACCGATCCGAGTTTAACCCTCGCGACCTTCCCGGCCAACCTTTTTCCAAGGGAAAATCCAGTTCGTTCTCGTCTCTCGTCCGAACTTTATTTCCCTAGACTCTTAACGTTTTTCACCGTCAATCTTAATTAATATTCCATTCATTTCTACAAAATTAACAAGTATTCAATGAAAGATTGTTTTTGTATATATATATAGTCAATCCAAAACGGTAGCCAAGATCCACCCTGCAATATTTTACAAAACCGTCGCAAATATTTGCAAAATATAAAACCGACACCGATCGACAAAGTTCAGCTATAACCGACAACATCCTAATTCAATTAGGGGATTTGTTCACCGTCAATCTTAATTAATATTCCATTTATTTCTAGAAAATTAACAAATATTCAATATTTTTTTTCTAAGTAACTAAACAATCCAAAACGGTAGCCAAGACCCACCCTACAATATAATACGAAACGGTCGCAAATCTTTGCAAAATACAAAACCGACATTGACCGACAAAGTTCAGCTATAACCGACAACATCCTAATTCAATTAGGGATTTTGTTCACCGTCAATTTTAATTAATATTCCATTTATTTTTACAAAATTAACAAATATTCAATAAAAATATATTTTTCTAAGTATCTAAACAATCCAAAACGGTAGCCAAGGCCCACCCTACAATATTCTACGAAACGGTCGCAAATCTTTGCAAAATACAAAACCGAGACTGACCGACAAAGTACAGCTATGAGCGAAAACATCCTAATTCAATTAGAGGATTTGTTCACCGCTAATCTTAATTAATATTCTATTCATTTTTATTAATTTACTGGTATTCAATACAAGATTTTTTTGTAGTCCTTGAATATTCAATAAAACGGACTCAAATCTTTGCAAAACCGATAACGATTGACAATTTCTAGCTATAACCGACAATATCCGAATTTAATAAGGCAATATTTGCAACGTCAATCTTAATCAAAATTCCTTTCGTACTTGAAAAATTAGTAAATATTCAATACGAGATTTATAACCTTTTTACTTAAATATATGTAAATTCTAAACCGACACCGACCGACAAAATGCATATATAACCGACAACTTCTAAACTCGTAATTCTACTTGTTAATATCGATCAATAATTGTAGTAGTATACTAATCTGACAACGATCGACAAATATTAATAATATTATTGAAACTTTATTAACCATGAAAAATCATTATTTTATTTAAACATTGTAAACATTAATAAAAAAAATATTTCATTGAAAATAATAAATAACAGACTTATAGTCGCAAGGGCCAATATATTTATTAAATTATAATGTGTTTTATAATAGGCCACAAAATGCTTAACGCGTCCCATTCATACGATACCGACAATGATCGACAACGTGCGCATCAAAACATTATCTGTCGACAGTTTGTTTCCTCCGATTCCAGTTATTGCTACCTACCTACGTTCTAACGATTTCTCCAATTCTATTGTTAAATTGTCCTAACACTTTCATAGTCAACTGGCAAACGTAACCCAACTGTACAATCCTTCTTTAACTTAGATTCAAGTTAAAAATAATTTACAATATACAATATTATAAATGTATGAATTATTTTCCATACAAATTATGAATTTAATCCTTTAAGTTGAGAAGTTAAAAAGTTTTTTTTTCATTATCAAATGTATGGATTATTCGTGATCTTGACAAACCGCAAAAGTCCTCTTCCTAACAGTAATACATCCGACTGTAATTGATTAAATAACGTATGCGCAATTATGATAACCAGCGATAAAAAATCAAAATACGACTAAATTACCTAGCGACGACTAGAATATATTAGTTTTATTCTCGAAACGTGACGGGCAACCGAATATAAATGTATATGCACACAAATTTCGTTTTATTTCTGTTTAAGTAGAAACATGTTTTCGGTTAAAAGATGAGTTATTTGGGGCCTTAGCGTTCGACATAGAAAGAAAATGATGAATGATGGACACTGAAAAGCATTTATGACAGGTTGTAGTAAAACACCAAAGTCACCAAAATAGGAGGCCGACACCGGTTTATTGGTGTTTCCGAAAAAATACCTCAAACGCATCCCTTCAGAAGCGTGACAACAAAGAGACGTTACTTTCTCTTTACATAGCAAATTACGCACCGGAATTTTGTACATCAACATGTATCAGCTTGATCTACTTGAATTTAACGATATATTGCGATTTGTTCTTCGCTCTCTCGCTCGAGCGAAATATACATATGCATTGCAGATGTTTTTTTCAAGGTTTTTCCTTGAATACCACCTGAAACTTATTAATAATACTGTGAAGGTCCTTTGACCAAGTCACCTAGTGCTTCCAAGAACCGTAACCTAATATTTAATTTCTTAGTATTCTATCAATTGTCGTTTCAAGATGGTAAATATTACAAAAAAATATTGGAAAATTAATGTACGGTAGCTTACTTACATTACCTGTATTAAGGATTATTAATGTTTCCATAACCAACCAAAAGATGGCGTAGCAATTTTGAACGTATTTCTTCCTGTTAAATGGGTAAAATTTTCAGAAAAAATGAGTATTGTAAAACATTGATTTTATTGAAGACTTAGTAGATATTGAACTTCGTGGTATTAATGATATTTATCATGAGGTGTAAAGTCCTATGATTAAAAAGCAAAAGGTAATTCTTTGATTTATTTTTTTAATGATGGGATTTTTTTTTTTTTATAATTGTGAGTTTAATTTTGAAGAAACCTTAAGAAACTATAGTAGACTAAAGTTGTAAGATAGTAAATATACTTTACATCTACATTTGACTACGAGAAAGTTGAGTTTCTGATGTGGTTTCACTTGGTTTACAGTCGGTCAAAAAAGGTAAGGTTTAAACATCGTTCTTGGTAAAGAGCAGTAAACCTAACCTGACTTATACCAGACACCTGAGACTAAAAAATGCAGACAATATGGATTTCAGGACAAATCAAAACAAAACATACATGAATAAGTTAGATAAGAAAAAATGATTAAATTAAATATTCAATTAAATCATTCTGTAATGCTTGTTATAATTATGTTTCAATATTTAAGGTGAAGAAAATAACGTTAGTATAATATAAGTTCATACTAGACATAGAGCTGAAGACTTTCATTTATGATGAAAAAGACTAGATATTTTATTTTCAATTAAGTCATTCTGTAATGCAATATTGCACTTGAGTTTATATTTTTAGATTAAAAAAGATACATAACTATGAAGAATCTTAGTTATTACGAAAACATCTCACCAATAATTATTCCAATTCAGTTTTCAATATAGTCATTCTGTAATGCAAAATTGACATTTAGGTTCAATGTTTAAAAAAAACTTAACAAAATTATACGTATATAAAGTTGAATATACAATATATAAAGCTGAGAAACTTATAATGATTTCTATTCAGTTTTCAATACAGTTCATTCTGTAATGCATTTTCTAATTGAATATCAATGTTTAAGATGTAGAAACAATGTAAAAACATACTTTTAAATTAAAAATGAAACTAAAAAATATGATGTAAACGTCTGTATAAATAATGTTTGTAACTTTGTTTTCAATAATATCATTCTGTAATGCAATATTGAAATTGAAAAACTTCAAATACAATTAAAACATTTCATCTCAATTATTTTCATCTGTAATGAAATTGATTGCATATATTCAGTTCATTCTGTAATGCATTTTTGTAATTGAATGTCAATGTTTCTTAATCATGTCATTCTGTAACGCAATATTGTAATTGAGTGTAAATCTTTAGGGCGAAAAGAAAAAAAAAACATGAAATTATAGTAATTTCTGTCGGCTGAGGTGTTTATTTTCCGATTATACGCGTATAGTTGAAAGGGTTGAGTTGCAGGTAAAAGGGCGTTTAGATTAATAGCTGGAGATAGGTAAATGAATAAGTTGTATTTTAAATGTGAGCGTAAGGAAAGAATATACGAGAGTTGATGGATGGCATTATTGCGGTTGGATTCGACGAATGGAAGAAGCGACAGGTTCGAGGAATGGAAGAGTGTAATAAATAAATGAAGAAATAATCGATTAGAGGAAGAAGAGGAGGAATGGCGTGCGGCTTTAACGGTTCGTCTCACATCGAGTCGTGGTGTTCGGCATCGAGTATAGCGAGTTTGGAGCACCACCGTGGTGATTTGTCGCCCGACCTGACACAATAGTGGAGAGAATTGCCTTTAGGTCGGCTCCCAGTTCGGCAATGTACGGCCACGCTCGTCCCGCGTTCAATTACTCCGCCTAATTATCAGCTAAACAGCAAACGTACGCTATCCACTATAACGCTCTTGTTTAACAGGACGAGCGTCGCGACGCTCCGCGCCGCTCACCACTATCGGAGGGCGACGATGACGGAGACTACGGATAACGGAGGGATGGGGCGAGGGAGAATACACACAAACGCACGAAACGAAAGAGAAAA